CCCTCCGCCAGCCCCATGATCAACCCGAGTCCTGCCTCCACTGCGTGGGCTCAGTGTGGCCGCAGTGGCCAACCCAGAAGGGTCACCCTGTGTCCTGGTCCATCACAGGTGATTCAGCTTAATTTCCCTCCCAAGCTCCTGGTGCCTAGGGAAAGTACATTGCAGAGGGCATCTGAGCTAGGCACCACCCTGTGAGGCAGCCCCCTGCCCTCACCGTGACACTTGTCACTCTCAGTTCAAGGGTAGGTTTTGCTTTGCCCTTGCCTGCTGCATTGCAGTGCCCTTTGGACCCAGGACTTCCTCTGTGGGGCGCTGGAAGCAGGTCAGAGCTCAAGTCTTTCTCTGATACTGACTTTAGTGCTCAGCACTTTCAGTGATACGAGCTCTTCTTTCTCATTAGGAACAGCACAAAGAGCCATCCTGAAGGCAAATCAAAGCTGGTCAGCCCCTGGGGAAGAGGTTAAGTGACCAGAGCCAGATGGTCTGTGCTTGGCTGGATACGGCCAAGTTGCCCCCCATGCACAGCCCAAATCATTGCTCAGTCCCATGAGGAGCAGAGCCTCCATGCTCCCGTGGCACAGATCCCACCAGGAGCCGGGCGCTGGCACTTAACAGGGTGCTTGCATGTCACCATGGCCTAGTGCCACGTGCCCATGCAATGGCCAGTAGCGTGAGTGGTTGGAAAGCGCCTTCCTGCAGCCAGCGCCATCTACAAGGGGCCGGGACCTGAGAGCAAGTGCTGCATAGTGAGGCTGGGTTTTATGGAGCCAGAGCAGCGCCGGGGAATCGGCAGTGCCATGTACGTGTCCGACACACCCTGCGGCACCTGCATGAGGTTTCGCCTTGGTTCTCCGTCCCTGGTTTCGGTTTCTGCGGCCTCTCCTTCCTGACTGCCTTCTCACTTCTTTACAGGCACCTTTCACGTATCAGCATCCCCAGGGAAAAACTGTGGGCAAAGCCCTGTTCCTCGCAGGTGAAGAGCCCCAAGGTCTGCAGTGCCAGCAGGGACCAAGGGGAGCAGGGCCACAAAAGAGGCCTGAGCTATGGCAGGATCGATGTAGGCACTTCCAGCAGGAGTTACCCTGGGGGTGTCCTTTCCAGACAGCCCAGACCTGCTCCAGTGTGGCTCCCCTGGCTGGAAGGGACACCTAAAAAAAAAAAAAAAATGGACCCACGACTGTCTCTGTCACCAGCTCGCATGGAGAAGCCAGCATTGTAGATGGGTCAGGAGCAAGTAGTGACCTAGCAAATCCTTATTTGCTAGGATAAGCAAATCCCGCAGTCTCGCCTTGCTCTTTTGCCCATTCCTGGCACAACAGGACTATGGGAGCATTTTGGGATGTCCATTTCCAGAATTCCCACTCCTAGCAAAGAGAAGGATGGAAATTGTGAGCCCTCAAGGCTCCAGACCTGGATGAGACACCACGAGCCTTGCACGTGCAGCGTGGGAGATCTGCTATGGGGCAAGTGTAGCACGAGGGTGCCATCGGCACTGCCACGGGTGACCCATGCACAGCCCACTGCAGAGGCGGGCGAGGGAGCCCCTGCAGAGCCAGGGCCACCAGCAGCACAGGCTGCCTGGGCCATGCTGCTCCTAAGCACCCTTCAGCGCTCCTGCACCATGAGACTCGAGGGAAGGAAGTCCTGGGGCCAGATTACGCACCAGGCTGGCTATGGGCTTGATTTGCACTGCTGGAAGCAAAATAGGAAAAATATCTGGCTTTACCCACGCCTACCAGAACGCAGCCCCACAGTGCTCCCAGCCCTGGGGCGCGGGGCCATGTCAGCACACACCTCCCCAGCTTCGCCCCTTCCTCAGCGGCACCTAGCACCCAGACTGGTGCGGTCAGCCCGCCAGTCTGGGATGGAGTGCAGCGACACGAGGGTGCCAGCCCCAGACGCCTGGGGCCCTGTAACAGTGCCAGGCCAGGCGTGGGGCGACTCTGACCATCCACCCACCCACCACACCTGGCACCGTGCAGGCGTCTTGCCCCCAGTGGGGACGGGGCAGCTGGATCCCAGGGTTCGCCTGGCACACTGGGAGGAGAGCGCGGCCGCAGAGGAGCAGGGCGAGTGTGGGTGCCAGGTGCCAGGGCTGGGACAAGGCCACGGAGGCCAGAATGGGGATGAAGAGTGGATGCCAGGGCAGAGGCTGGGATTGTGGGATGCTCCGGAAAGTAGAAAATTTGGGGGTATTTCAGGCTGGTGTTCCCAGGACATGGGTGTCTGAGGCACAGGACACAGCAGGCCCTCGCTGTCCTGTGACTGAGGCCAATATTGGAGAGGATAAAGAAAACGAAGCACAGTGGGGTCTGAGCAGCTACCATTTAATGTGGGATGTCTGTGCCACAGCGGGCAGATGGCACCACGGCTGGCAGGCACAGACGGCAACACGAGTCACCCTATCCTGCCTGGATTCATGCCCGGTAGCCAGGAAAGGGCTGGCCTGGGCACCCCGCACACCTGCTGGCTTCTTGGAAAGTTGCATCCAGCCTGGGGTGCCTATCAGCAACTCTGCTGGCGGCGAGGCGGGCCATGGGGCTCTATGTGCCCCATGCCGCAGGGTCAGGTCTCAGGAGCTGGTCCCCTCCACGCTAGGGCCACCAACAGAAACACCTGTGTGCAGCCCCTGCTCACCTGCTCAGCTCTGCTCCTGCCACCCCAACCGGTTCTCCCAGCTTAGCCGCTGTGGTCCCACTCCCAGGATAATGATACCCCCGCCCCGGAGAGCTGCCGAGAGGAATAATAAATATGTACAGCGACACAAATAGAAGCCCCAAAAGTAGGTCAAAGTAAAAACTCAGGGCAGAATGGGATGAGAGCTCCCAGCCCCCCTGCAGACCATGCCAGGGTTTCCCAAGCCACCATGTGCCCTGGGGCAGTGTGAGGCTGAGCCACACGGGAAAGGTTTGTCGTCACTGCTCGCGCCCCTGCCCGGTCCCCGCCAGCCCCACCACCTGCTCCGACGGACACACGCTCGAGGTGTTGCGAGTTGGTTTACCCAGCGTAGTGGCTTCTGCAGCAGGGCTTGGGCAAACCAGCCAGGGGACGCAGAGAGGTGATGGGGATGGAGCCCCGTGCCACCCACGGGGACAGGCACCTGGGGGCACTCAGAGCCGTGACACAGCACGGCGCACCTCGATACCAGCAGTCAGAGCCCTGGGGTGTTTCCAAAGATGGTGCTCTCACAGGGACGCAGCTGGGTTTCCCCTCCTGGAGACACCAGCTGTGCCCGGGGCAGCGTGT